TACGTCCCTCACGGAGCTGTGTGGAGTTTTAATGATTCAGGGACCAGGCGGCTGGTTAATGCAGCTCGTGTTGTCGCTCTCACGGGGCTCATTTGCCTACAGGCATGTCAGAAGGAACAAGTAATATAAGAGTATATATAACTGTAGTTGGCAGTGTACTGAAAAGATGCCGAAGCTAACTTTAAATGAATAGCTTAGGACATCAGAAGCTAAGAAGCTGAGAAATAAGATAAATTAGCTTGAATGGAACTTTGTGTTTCTGTAGTTAGTCTGTGCCTCATGCTCAATGAGATATATCTGCAGTGTATACGTCCCCCTGTGTACTGTTTTCCTAACACTGCCTTGCACATATTCAATATCCAGCACAGCCCGCATCACCCTCCTTTTTATGCTACTTTTTCTACCTGATGGGAGGGAGTAAAGAAGATAGAGCAAGACTCTTCTCAGTGGTGCCCAGGGACAGGATGAGAAGCAGCAGGCACGGATTAAAGTACAGGAGGTTCCACTTAAACATAAGAAGAAGCTTTTTTTTTTTTTTTTTTTTTTAACTGCAGTGGTGGTCAAACTGTGGAAAAGGTAGCCCAGATTGGTTGCAGAGTCTCTGTCCAAGGAGATATTCAAAACCTGACTGGGAACAATGCTGAGCAACCTGCAGTAGCTCACTTTGCTTTGATTGGGGGTGTTGGGCTAGATGGACTCCAGAGGTCCCTTCCAACCTCAGCTATTCAGAGTTTCAAGCTTTTTTCAGCATTTCATTGTGCTTCAAGAGTTTGTGGTACTGCTTGTCAGACCACAGAAACCACTGCTGGATGAGGTAAGGCTTACAATTACAGAGAGCTTAAACAGGTTTTAGCAACTTCAAAGTCTGCACTGTTCTCATGCTCCCATTCTACTTTTCCAGCTGTCCTTCATACTTAAAATATAAAATATAAGTTCAGTGTTTGATCAGACTTCAGTCTGACAGTGGAATTAATGGCATAGGACATTACAATGACCTTCTGCTCCCTGTGTGCAGAAATTTGAATTTAGTTTTTTTTTTTCTTTTTTAAATCTTTAGAGAGGAGTGACAAACCTGTACACGGATTGCTATTATGCTAGGTGGTATTCTGGTGTTTGGTTGGGTGTCTGTCACAAGCGTGACCCTGTGTATGCTGTTTCGTACTGTCAAGGCAGGAGAGAACCAAGTATAAACTGTGTTGGTGCAAGTTAGGGGTTGGTTTATCTGTTAGTGACTATATGATACTCAGGCCTGGGAGCAGCAAGAGATGCAAGCTTCTTCTATCTCTTTGTTCTGGTGTGTGGCTGCTGACTGAAAGTGGATATCGTTGGTTTTGCTAATCTTCTTTCTTAATTCTGCTCCTGTAACAAACATTATGGGGTTTCCGAGTGCTTTGCGCAAGTGCACAGCAGATTGTGTTGTAAGGGAAATGTAGGAAACAGCCGCAAAAAGTCGTATAATCTGGTGTGATAATCTGGTGTGATCATCTGGTGAGATATTCTAAGGAGCTGTACGGCTAAGTGGTTCCAAAACCAGGTTCTTTCTGAAGGAAGTAAAGAGAATCACAATTATTACTGATTTAGCTATAGTTTATTTTGAGCTGAATGTTGCAACTATGCTCTCTGAGAGAAGAAATGTTGGATAATTTAAGGCTGTTGACAGGCAGAGTAGCAATGTTAGTGTGCAACCTTGCAGCTACCAAGTATAATATGGTTTCTAGTTTGGATCAATTCCAGCTGTCAGACCCCAATTTACTAACTGTGTTGAGAAGCACATGCGTTTTCTTTTAGAAGGTCAGTAGCCTTTAAGGTTATTGAAAGTGAGGAAAACTGTCATACCTTTATAGGGAACACGTTGCCGTGGAATCTTTAGGAGCTGTACAGTTATAGTGAATAGCAAACGTCATGTGCTTCGTGCAGGGCTCAACTCAGTCTGCAAGAGAGAAAATAATGGAGGGCTCTTCTTTCTGCCTGCATGTTCAGATGAAGGAGAGTCAAAGCTGTTATACCAGAGCTATGTATCAGCTAATATATTTCAGGAACTCTGCAATGATCATAATTGCAAAAAAGTCCTCCAGAGGGAAATTATGACTCATAGTTTATGTTCTCTTTAGTGTTGCTATGGAAAAAGAGGTTAGTGCCAATGGTCATACAGTAATATTAATCTCCAATCTGAAAGAAAAATAAATAACAATCCGCAGCTTAACCCAAAGCAGATTTATTCTCAGTTACCACAATGCACTCCATTAAAAGGGATGACCATGTAAGAAGAACTAAAGATGACATCGATTATCCGTTCTCAACATGCAGTTAGAGAGAGTTCCTTATTTGAATTAGTGTATACTTCAGACTCAGGCACGTGACTTGGAAGAGTGAGAGGAAGGGGAAAATGGCATATTGATCAAAAGTAAAGCAGAAAATGTAAGCCACCGCCAAAAGCTCATTAGAGCTTCTTTATGCATACAGCATAAAGGGGGTTGGTACTGGTTCTACAGCAGGTTCTGAAACAACGCCCTGGCAACAGGCAGTCTGAAGTGCTGAAAAGTGGTTATCGCACTTTTTCCATCGTTTAGGAACGCGATGGCCGTGAATCAGAGCGGAGGATACTTCTGTGCTGAGTCAGCACCCCTTCAGGCTGTCTTGGCAGCTGTTTCCTATGAGTTGTTTAGTTGCCTAGGCAAAATCCTAACCAGGACTGAGGCCAAACAGCTGCATGCTTACTTTGCTCTGGTGGTGAGTCTTTTTCTTTGCATGCGGGAAAGCAAGGGAACTACCCGACATCTTCTCTTGACATCCAGAGAGAGTATGCTTGGCTTAGTAGTTTACAGCAAAACTTTTCCACCTGCATACTCAACTTTGTTATTAGAAATTTGAGCTGCATTTGCTCCTTTGTATGCAATTACTGACAGTAAAGACCCTGGAGCCAGAACTTAGCTTGAAATTTTGCTAGTGATGCATCCTGCAAAGCAGAACAGAGCCTGCCTTTCTCCAACAATGTTGCATCTGCAATGCTGATGGCAGTAAAACTTTTTATTCTGTTGATGAGCTAAGCAGATTGGATTAGGGAGCTATACAGAGGGATCCTGTGTCCTAGGTCTACACTCACAGCTCTTTCTGATCATCACAGAAGCTGTATGTACAGCTCAAAACCCTTATATCGCTCAGATAGTCCTTTAAGTTAGCAGAAGACTTTTCAGTGACTTTCAGGGTTGGACAGGTCCCTTGGTGAACGGTTGGCACGCTAACAAATTGTCATTACTTCAGCAATTCTTCTGAGCTTAGCTCTCTTTAAAACGTCGTAAATCAATCAGTCAGGTAACTGTTTGGCACTACAGCCTATAGTGAAAAATGGTTTTCATTGCATCAGTGTAAAGGGCATACAGGTATATTTTAGACTCTGATACCTTATCTTCTTCCCTTTCTTGTGTCTCTTTAATCATCAAACATATTTTAGTCAGGCCCGTATCAGTGCTCTCACTCTGCTCTCTTTTTTGGCAATAAATTGATACAGAAAGCCTGTATCTATGTGAGCCTTTTCCCAGAGGAGTCTGCTCATGGATTAGCACATAAGGGTCAACAGGATGCTCCTTGCCGTTTTCCCCTAAAAGTGGACAGAAATGTCAGCAGTTTTTCTGGCATTGAAAATAGAAGTATCAGCGGCCACTGAGCGCTGCTAGTTTAAACATTTATACCATACGGACTTCATCACACCCTCTTTCTCTGTGCACAACTTCTGTTGATTTCAGTGCAGGTCAAACTCTGAATCTGTGCAGTAGCTAACAGGTCGTGTCTTCTGAGGAATAACGGTATGTATGCAGTTAACAGACTGGCACTATGCCCTTTACGTCATGTTATGGTGTCAGGAAGGGTAAACATGCAGTTTTTTAAGAAGTAATTATGTAGACAAACCTGTCACCACAAGAATGGAATACCCATGCATATGCTTGACATCTGTCAGCCTGACAAGATCCAGGCACATGCTTCAGATATTTTGAAAGAACATTGTGCTTCCTCTGCCAGTCTTTCTCCTCCCTGAGACTAAGAATTGCAGACTAATATTTTTAGTTAGGACACAAAAATGGAGGGGGGGGGAAAGGGGTTGAAAGGCAGCTCAGAAACCTGAGTTTAGTTCTTACTCTGACCTGGAAGTTAGCAGGAAAGTAGACACTTGCAAGCTTGAGTAAACATTTTTATCTCTTACGAAGCATGTTCTCTTATGTTTGTTAGAACTACAGGCCAGCTCATCCTTGTAAATGTGTAATCTTACAGGAGAAAATGTCTAATTCTAGACCTACAACTGATCCCTGTGTACACTGTATCCCAAAGCAGTTATCTGAATTATTTTCAGAGATGCTTAGTGCCTGCATTGCCTATGGTTTTACTGGATAGCATTCTAATGCTGTTAAAACACTGAGCATATGATTCATTTCAGCATCTATAAAACTGGATAAAGTGTGTCCAGGGGTATTGTTTGAATTAAAGCTTACGAGGACAAACAAAGCAGGCATATCTGAAAGTGAAGTGTAAACGTGATGATGGGTTCCCTGGTTAGCACTTCATGGCTGCACGAAGCTGACAGCTCTTACATAAAGGTTAAAACATGTATGCTTTGGTCCGTCAGTTAAATTAAGTCTCCTAAAGACTGTGTGGCACTCTAGAAGACACGAGTTTATCTGTGTGAATAAACAGAATATGCAATTCAATACAATTATACTTATAGGACTATTTAAAGCGTTAGAAATATGCTGCAGTCCAATAATAAATGCAGATGGAGCCAGCGCATTTTGCAGACTGCCTGACTACGTTTAGATGTGTTAGAGACCTGACAAGTGCCTGGGAAGCAAAGTCTGAGACCTGGTGTTTAGATTTCCAAATTACAGCAGAGGATGAGAAAGAAAACGTAATAGGTACAATGGGGACATGAACTGGAGTAATAAATGTTTGACCTTTAAATTTAATCTCTGCCAACTTCTAAAACTGCTTCTCTCAAAGACTGACATGACTGTGTTTTATGTTATGTTTTTATTTGTCATATTTGTAGTTAGTTACAAGTAAAAATGATCAAAATCCATTGCAGTTAATACAAAATAAAAATATAGCTGCACAAGTTATGCCATTTTTCTTACAAACAGTATCTCCTATATGATACTACATACTTAAGAGCTTAACTCTTCATAGTACTTGCTTACACTAAGCTCGTATTGACTGATTTCCAGTGTGATTTGCTGGTTATAGATATTACTCCTGCGGAGTAATGTCTCTTCTTAGTCATTTCTTAATAGTATTCTTGCTGTAGCTTTTATTTACCCTATAATTTGTGATTCTAAATACAACTCGAAAGATGCAATCGTTTAGCACAGTGTTAAGTGTCAGTAGAATTATAATATATATGTCTATATTTATATAAAAATCCTACTGCAAAAACAAACAAGGATGCAAAGTAACTGTGGTTTGGGCTTCCCTTTCTTCCCTCCCCCTTACCTTTGGGTATGACTGGGATGAACATTCACAGTGAACAAATTACTCTGCAACCTCTCATTTTCCATGAATTTTGAAAACTGACAGATGTGTAATTTTGAGAGCTTTGTCGGTGGTTTTGATGAAAGTTCTTAGCAGAGGATCAAATCCTGTGGCTTTGCAGACTCATCCTTATGTAAACTCATCCTTGCCATGAAGTTTAATCCATAACACTTTTTTTCCCTTTAGATATGCCTAAATGAGCGTTTTTACCTTTTTAAAAAAATTGTCTTTACATCCCTGTAAGTACATAACTCTTCTGTGTCGATATAGCTTCATACATGAAATAATTTGTAAAAAGACAAATTATGTTACTTTCAAAATACTCTGAGATACAAAGTTGTGCAGGTGCAAAGTTTGATACTGTGTTGCTAACGAGTAAGAAGGAATGAGTGTTATCTGAGTATATACTCTTTAAGCTGGAAGTACAGACTTAATATTGCAGGCCTTTTTTAACTTTTCATAGCATTTCATACTTCCTTCAGGCTGTCTCCATGTTTCTATCAAATTCCTTCAATCTTTTTTGCCAACTTCTGCGCCATTAAAGGTACAGTAGCTGATTACACATTCATACGAGTCAGTAATATATCTTCCTAACTCTGGTAATTACAAAAATCATCTTTCCAGTTCCATGTAAACACAGTCATTTCTTCTAAGTGACTATCAAGAAACTACAGGCAAAATCTTACCTTCATTGAAATCAATGGGACCAACTTTTCAGTTTCACTCTCTAAATAACTCTGCTCTTCTAATCTTACAGCATAACGCCCCAAACAAGCAGTACATGTATATGTAGTTGCTGAATCTGTTAGTATACTCAGAGCATAGTAAGGCAACCTAAATTAAAGTGTTCTCTTTGGTATGCCTACATTTACATGCAGAACTACTCACAGTGATATGAAATACTGTGATAGGAAAAAAGAAAAGAGAATAAAAATCTGTGTTTTCTGACTACTTGCCATATATTTCCCTGACCTAACTATAAGAAAGCCAGCTTACCAGCTTACTTCTACTAGACATGCTAGTCTCCTATGCCAGCTGACAGCATCTCTAAATTAAACACCACCAATGAATTGGCCTAAAACGCGCAGCCGGAGTGGAGCACGTTGCAGCCTGCGTCGTTGACTTTGTTCACTCTGCATGCCAATGCGATGCAGTCAATTATCATTGAAGAGAAAACGATGGAAGAAACTGAATCACTGCTAACGTGTGGCAGAAATATACACCGGTTATTCACTTAACTAAACCGTGTGTATTTGGAACATAAAGGAAGGCTGAGATTTATGATGCTGTTTGGTCTATCTGGAGAACAGCTGCTTGGGTTGTTTCTTCATCAGATTGTTCTGTCTCGCCACTGATGGGTTCATTTCTCTCCTCATATACTTTGTGGCTAGAAACTTCTAGAGGCATCCCGTACTCTTCATCATCTTCAACGATTGACAGCTCAATGTTGCTGTTTATCATGGCTTTCCCTTCCATTCTGGCTTCTTTCTCCAAAGAATCGGCTATTGCTTTGCTCTCTTCAGTTAGAGATGTAGTAGGTGTCATATCCGAATGCATGTCAGAGAATGACATTTCCTCGTCATTATCAGCTTGGTCGTTGCTTGCAGTTTCTGTTGGTCTGTCCTCAGTTTCAGCAGTGCTTTCTCCTTCCTGGACTTCCTTCGCGTTTAGCGTGAGGGGAGACGCTTTGAGAGATGAACTCTTTGAAGAGGAGGACTTCTGATGATGTACAGTAAGGGATTTCCTAATCTTTTCTCTCCGTTCAGGTGAGACAATCTTCGTGCTGATCTTGTTCATTTTCTTCTCAATATTTTGGCGGGAAAATGCTTTCTTGAGGCTGTCTACCTTCTTGAGGCTAGACCTTTTAATTTTCTCAGCTCTTGATTCTTCTATTTTCTCCTCTGTGCTGTCATCCACGTCCCCTTCCTCATGAGGCATTTCATCGTCTGAAGACAGCTCCACTGTATGCAAGGTTTCTTCCAGTGTTTTGTTCACATCCACAGGCTCTTCTTTTCCTTCTGTAACACTGGGAATAGGCTCCTTTGCAAAAACACTGGCAGGGATCTCATTTTCCTCCTGAAAGAATTGACAATATTTGAGTTTCATAGATCACAGGACACAAATTTAATAAACAAAGCACAACCCTGAACAATTACTTTTTTTTTTTTTTAAACAATGATATGAAGGATGCTGAACACTTCTTGTTGTTTCAGTATATTTAACCAATAACAAGCCATTCAAAGCCCACTGAACCATTATCTGGTACAGTTTAAGACTAATGAGCTGCCAGCTGTGAGATTTCTCTTTCAAGTGACTTGGAATGTATACAGAATGGAAAGGCTGCTCTTTGTCATTTAAATTAGGTACAGCTATTAAATAGTTTGGCTGTAAGTTTATCCCCAGGGAGATGGGATGGTATTGTGGCTAAGGCATGGCTAAAGAGGTCTTACTCTCCATCTCCTGCGTAGACTTGAAGAAGCCACATAACCTCTCAGAGCTTTTAGTTTCTCTAGCCAAAGGTTGGGAATATTAATTCACCACAGAGACGCTGGGTGCATCTGAGGTATACCTTAGATGTTGGATGCAGTTAGCATTTTCACTCTATTTCAGGAAAATATATGCTATTGTTAAAACTGGGTTGCTGGATTGTTGGTACCGAGAAGACTGAACTCTCAACTGGAAGTCAGTGAAGCTTCCTGGTTCACACCAGGCTTAGCACGGTACATAGCACAACCCAGTATTTTTACTTCTGTTTTGTATGATCACAGTGGTCCAAACATTGCTTTGAGGAGCTGAGGGTGCCATGTTTTACCGACTTGGTGCATGAGGATAAGATTTTGACACACTCTTCACACTCCTTGCCTCTGCCCACTTCCTTTGGATGGCAGATGCCATCACTGGAATGACCGTAGGTCTGTGGGAAGGACATGAGCGAGAGTAAGTGTTGTCAGGAGTGAGGTTGGCCAAAAGCGCCAGAGCTGGTGTGGGTGTGCCTTAAACATGGCTTGAAATCCTCTGTGCTACAGAGATAACTCCTGTCCGTGGCAGTGAGAACACCCATCTCTTCTGTGTGGGAAGACTGCAGGAAGAGTTTGGGAAAACTCTGTAGACTTTTGCTCCCCTGTAGATTTTGCTGTATGTAAGCTATGTAGTCCATGATGTTTACAGAGTAAGTGCTGTTTAGAGCATGGAAAAACATTATTTTTAAATTGGTAAATACTAAAAACATGGGCAAGGCAAATCTGTGAAATATCAAAGCAAAAAGGCTATAGCATATAAGCAGACTTTATACCGCATAGAGAATACTAGTAGTCACTTCCAATTAAAAGGAAGATGATTGCTTTTTAGAAAGAAAACCAAGCAAGGGCAGAGATAATCCAGCAGGTGTCCAAGTGGGCTGAACAAGGCAAAGAGCTACAACTCATAGTGAAGGACCTCTGTGACTACCAAGCACAGCAGCTTTGCAGCCCCAAGCAGGTCAGGCACGTCACCGTGAGCGCTCTGATCGGCATGAGGCTTGACAGGCGTTTGCCATACAAAGACAAGCAAGGCTCCTCGAACACGCTCTCTTTTTCCTTTCAGAATTGTTACTTATGTCATAGCTGCATAATCTGTGCTTATTACTTACTTTATGACTTAGGCAGACCCAGTGTGTGTAATTATCACTTAGTGTTCAGATTGGAAAGTTTTCGTTTCAGAATTTATCTCTAGATATGAGAAAGCAGTTAAGTGCTGAGCAAAATGGGTTGTAATAGTCTCAGAGCTGTCCCCAGTGGGCCTACGTGTAACAGTTAAGGGTAAAAAAAGGCCACACTTACTTCAAAGTTTGTATTCGTTATTTCAGGACTGAGCATACAGTTGCGATCACTAAAGAGAACAGTGTCTTGGGTTAAATTTGCTGTCAGGACTGTGTAAGGATGTCTGTATGAATGAGCAGGTGATACCACATTGTACTTTGTACATGGTTATTTTACAAATGAGTAAAGACTGCCTTGCAATGCTTCTGGAACTTGAGGATATTCATGTGGACAGGCAGAATAATTCTGTACCAGTGGGATTTAAGCGTGTTGCTGAATATCCCCCAAGGATAATAAAATGAAATGTATCAAAAAATTAATGCCCAGATGTTTGTATATGCTTTTGCCTCTGTGGTTTCTACACACCTTCGTGGACCAGCAGCCTCAGTCAGATGCACTAGCACGGAGGAAGCTTTCAAAACCCTGTACTGGCAGTGGATGTTCGAGGCAAGCACTCTCTCTTCTAAACAAGCGCTTGTCTCCCCTACGTGCATTATGTATAAAGACATCCTGCTGCAACTATCAGTGACCAAAGTAACACCGCCACCAACAAAAATCCTGCACCAGCATTGAGTGAAAGTAGCTCTAACGGGAGTGGAAATATTTGTATTTTCTCTCCACCGCAGTTAGTGAAACGTGGATTACAGGAATGGGTGCAGGGTTAAATTATTCCCCAGAGCATGAGAACTCAGCCTAAAACATAATTTGTCTTGTGTAGTCTTTCCAAACCGAGGTAATCACATACAGCTGATATATTTCAACATTCAGGTGTAAGTGCTTAAATAGACTAGAAAACTCTGTTTCAAGGAACAAACATGGGTTGTAACTTTACCGGTATTTAATCTAGGAAAGTGGTGTCCTATGAGATTGATCACAATGCAGTGTGATCCAGAAAGAGGCAAGTTTGGCTTGTTTCAAGGTCAGTTTAGTGCTATGTCTAAGGTATTCATGTTAAATTGAAAGTTTAACACGACTGACAGTACTGCAGTCTCTAGAAAAACATGGATGCACCTTTTATTTAAATTTTGATCAAAATTTGTGACTGAGTGGAAGGAATACCGTCATACTGGCCATATGTGTTTAAAAAAAAACCCCAACAAACTCTCTCTGCATAATAATGAGCTAATGATTCAATTAAAAGCAAATGCTAGATGGTCTTATGCTATCATACAGGACTGGCAATCAGGAAGTCACATCTCTGCTTAAACTTCCTGTATGGCCTTGGGAAACATCAGCCTCTGGGCATCTATCATCCTGCCTGTAAAATGGGAATTGCATACTTTCACAGGAACTGTTAAAATACGAATTAAAATAAACTAAGTACAATGGTTTGGAAATACAAAGGTGATGCAGTAGGAACCTGTGTGGCTGAATGGCCTTTTCCATTTCAAATACAGTTACTGATAACATGTTGTAAGTAGGCTACTGGTAACTTTTCAGTCTAGCAAGTTTATATGATACCTATATTTTGTTTTGATACCTTTTTCAAAGAGTCTGGTATTGCGTTTAGGAAGACTAGAACAATACACTTAGAATGCCAGCTGTTACAAATTCTGTACTATTTCCCATGCAGTGAAATGTAGAACTTTGATCTTTTCTCCTTGATCTAATCTAAAATTCTGAGAAAGGAGCAATACGTCTTTTTATTTTCTACATTTGAGCTCAAAAATGGCACTTGCGTTTTCTCAGATGAGTTTGACTGTACATAACTAGCTCCAAATTTTGTTTTTCGCATAGGATTGAGTACAATGGTGCAAGTTCTCTGTGTACAAGAACTCCTGTTAAAACTAGTAATATTTGCAAAGTTGAGCGCCTTCCACGTGGCTTTGATCTGCAATTCTTGGGAACTTTTTTTAGGTCATAATCTTGTCCACTTCTTTGACTGTAAAGACAAGATCTGTAACAGTGTACTACAAAACCAAACAGCCCAACTGAAGGAGCAACTGCAAAGGTCTTTAGTGATGCTCACTGAGATAGTTAATTTA